ATTTCGAATGACAGTTTTGGATTGATGTTTATATGCATTATATAGAGATATGAGTATTAACCGGGAAAAAAAAAGTGCACCTTGAATGATGAGAGAGTATAATATAATATAATATAATCTCCTCCAAAGAGAGTATAAGAGAGTATAATATAATTTTTTTTTTTTGGTAAATAAGTATAATATAATTTAATATCTATTGGGAAGGTTTATGCCTATAAATTCCATGTCACATGTTATTATCACAATTTTTTTATAAGTTTATTTTCACATATTTCTTTTTTTTTTGTTGGAAACATTCCAATCGATTCATTGCTTCGTAACTAATCCGATTCGGGGCGAGTCCAGGATTAAGGCTTTACATATTTCTTTTCAATTAATCAAAATCAATTAAATTTTTTAAAAACATTAAATAAAATCAATCATTTATTTCATCCAAATCTTAAGCAAACTACGGCTGCCTTCCCATCCATGCTTCTATCATAATAATTTGTTTAATAATATTCATAGGGTAGCATCAACTTATACTAATTAATGTAAATTTAACAAGTCTTACACATATTAATGTATCAAAAGAAAATAACATCTAGTCTTTGAACTGATTGCTCGAGCTGGATTTCGATAATAATAGGAGAGGAAATTCCGTGAATATCACATATTAAGAGAGAATCTATAAAGCAGTAAAAGCTAACCTATACTAATGATAATAAAACTAAAAATGATGGTCTATAACAGTGTTGTTAAATCCAACCCGGGCATCGACTCAGTCGAGGTATTAGGTCACTGGTAGGGGTGTGCAAAAAAACTGGTTCACTTGCTCTGCCCTTGATCCGACCCATAAATATCCATATTTTTTTGAACTGGTTTAAATACTGACCCACTTTTATTTGGGTCAGTTTTAGACCTGACTCGTTTTAATATTGACCCACTGACCCAAAACTTGACCCATACCCATTATGTGAAAAAAAAATCACAATTACATTAAAAGAAAAGTTTTAACGTAAAACAATTACGTCAAAATTTTTTATGGAAAATATTTTTATAAAAATTTTCGCAAAAACTTTTGACGAAAATTATTTTCATCAAAATTTGTGACTAAAAACATATCTGTAAAAAAAAATTTACGAAATATTTTTTTTGTCAAATTTTTTTACGGAATCTAAATTTCGTCAAAATATTGACGAAACACATTTTCATCGAAATTCTTTGACGGAAAAAAATTTCATCAAAATTCTTTACAAATTTCAAATTTCGGCGAAAGTTTTGGACGGAAACATTTTCGTTAAACTTTTTGACAAAAAAAATTTTCGTCGAAATTTTTAGCAAAACATATTTCTATCAAAAAATTTCGACTAAATATTTTCGTCAATTTTTTTGATAAAGAATATATCCATCAAAATTTTCAACGCAACACATTTCTGTAAAAAAAATTCGTAAAATTTTTTGACAAAAATATTTCGATAAGAAATTTTGACAGAAAAAATATTTTGTCTAAATTCTTTAGAGAATCTAAATTTCGTCGAAAGTTTCAAGTGAAACATTTTCCTCAAAACAATTTCCATTGAAAATTTCGATGAAACACATTTCCATCAAAAAATTTCGACGGCAAAAAATTTCATTAAAATTCTTTACAGATTTCAAATTTCGGCGAAAGTTTTCGACGGAAATATTTTTGTCATCAAAAAATTTTGACGGCAAAAAATTTCATCAAAATTCTTTACAGATTTCAAATTTTAGCGAAAGTTTTCGACGGAAACATTTTCATCATCAAAAAATTTTGACGGCAAAAAAATTCATCAAAATTCTTTACAGATTTCAAATTTTGGCGAAAGTTTTTGACGAAAAAATTTTCTTTAAATTTTTTGACAAAAAAAAATTTCCGTCGAAATTTTTAGAGAAACACATTTCCATCAAAAATTTTCAACTACATATTTTCGTCAAGTTTTTTGATAAAAATTTTCCATCAAAATTTTCAACGAAACACATTTCTATAAAAAAATTCGGTAAATTTTTTTGACAAAAAACATTTTGACGAAAAAAATATTCTGTCAAAATTCTTTAGAGAGTCTAAATTTCGTCGAAAGTTTCAAATGAAACATTTCCCTCGAAATAATTTCCGTCAAAATTTTCGTCAGAACACATTCCCATCGAAATTTTGAACGAAAAATATTCTGTCAAATTTTTTGACAAAATTCTTTTTTCGTTTAAAACATTTGAAGGAAGAAATTATTTTCGTCAAAATTGTTGACGGAAACTAAATTTCAATAGAAAATTTTTTTTGTAAAAATTTCGACGAAAAAATAATTTTGTGACGAAATTTTCGTCTTATGCAACGTAAAAATTTCGACAAAATTTTGTGAGAAAACAAAGTCAAAAACGGGTTAGGTCAGATTTGACCCAGTTCAGAAACCAAGTCAGACCCACTTCAGAAACCAAGTCAGGTCAAATCCAAACTGGTTCTGAACTAGTTCAACAAAATCCAATCCAAGTCAGACCTGACTTGGATCAAACTAAAGCGGGTCAAAATACCTGACCTATAAAAACCAAGTTGGGTCGAGTCGGACAAAAACCTGACCCGACCTGACCCATGCACAGCCCTACTCACTGGGTCACTGATCGGATCGGTTAATCCGAATATATATAGATATATGAAAAAATATATAAATATGAACATATAAATTCATTTATATTCTCCATATTTAAAATGAATTAAACAAGATTCACTAAATAAGCTCAAAAATATGAAGCATAAATAAATAAAAATGTACGCTATTACTATGTCAATTTAAATTGTTACTCATAATTCCCATAAACATACCTCTTAATGATATTGAATTTATATTTTTCAAATTCAACTATATCATATGTCACATTCTCTAATTTATTATTCCGCAAATTGCTTTAGTATTGGAAACTAAAATTTGAGGTCATTATATTGTAGAAGAGTATACTAGCAAATAAAATTACAAAAAGCTTTTAAAATGAGTTTTATATTTTTTCTGATAAGATAAACAATTCTGATTTTTTGGTTTTTTTTTTAAAATGCATGACCCGACCGGGTCACCAGATTTTGACCGATTTTGTCCGGGTTTTGACTGAGTTTGACTAGGTCGATGCATGAGCGGTCCAATGCTTGACCCGAACCGATCTGATGACCGATTCACTGAGTTCCGGGTCGACCCGTCCGGATCGGGCCGAGTTTTACAACAATAGTCTCTACCAACGAACAGACAAAAAATAAAAATGAAAAATATTTCTCCTAAAACAGGAGACAAAATTATCTTAGTAACCTAAAAATTATGCCGTTTTGGGGGATTGAGAGACTTAATAAATGATATTTTATGTATTTTTTTGTTATATAAATTTTATTAAAACACCATTCATTAATTCTCTCAACCATAAAAAAGACATAATTTTGAAATTATTGCGATAAACTCAAAAATAAAATTTGGTTTTACATAAAAAGCAATTACTCCTACTAAACAAAAGATATTAATCCTCTAAAAAATACCAACACTATCGTGGAATAGTTTTCTATAGAGCTCAACCAATAACTTCCCAGGAAGTTGATGAACCTCCTCTTCTTCCCACTTTTGGTTCTTCTTGGTGTGCATCTTCTGCTCTTTGTAGCTTTTTCTCAGCTTCCATTACAGTTTCTTTCATCATTCTCACCCATTCTTTCTCAATATTACTTCTCTTGCACTCGACACCATGTTCATCATATTCAATTATACCAAGTTATTCAAAATCATCACATTCATTAATATCATTAGCATAATCACTGGCATGCAATAATAGTTTTCGATAGAGCTCAGCCGATTCTATTGCAGATGATAGTTTTCCAACTAGTTCAACCTTTTCTTCTTCCCACTTCCTTCGGTCTTCTTGATGTGCATTTTCTGCTCTATGTAGCCTTTTCTTTGTTTCTATTACAGTATCTTTCATTATTCTCAACCATTCATTCTTCGGCTTATCAAATTTCTCACAACCTTCTTCTTCACCCGAATCATAATCATCGCTATCATTTTGTCACCCTGTCGTATTAAATTATATAACTTATGTCATTTTACTCTCACAAATAAATGGGATTCACACTTTTATATTTTTTTGTCCACTTTCTCTCCCATAATCTATCTATTTATCTCACTTAAAATAACATAATTTTATATCCTCTAAAGTAATATACATTTTTCTCTAAAAATAATCTTGATAACACAACAATAGAAAAAAATAAAATAATACCCTCACAGAAAAATTTCACAATACCTGATTACTCTAAAAATAATCTTGATAACACAACAATATAAAAAAATAAAATAATAAAATAATACCCTCACAGAAAAATTTCACAATGTTATGAGAAATATTTATGTCTATTAATAAAGGAAGTGATACATACAAAATTTTCACATGACTAAGTCAAATAAGTTTTTTTTTGGATAAAACAAAGATATTTCTATAAGAGACAATCTTATTCAAGTCGAGAATATTCACGAGGAACTAGCTCTTCCACACAAAAAATAAGGTCTTATTCTTCTACACACCCATAGAATAATCATACTTGTATAATTCATCACTGACGAGTTGTTATTAGTCCCTAGTAAACTAAAATTTTCTTCGTGTATGTGAAAATCAAACCTCATGTAGAAAGTGCTTTACATTGTATATAATTTCAATGATCCATAAAGCACAAAAAAGATGATGGTCGATTATAAATAACATTAGTCTTGCATTTTTATCTAGACTCCTACACAATCTTCACATAAAAGTAACTTTACCATTATCTAAAGATTATATATATATATTTATTTTTTTTATTTTTTTTAAGGAACAAAATAAAAGAAAATAAAGTAAAATGATCGATGTCATTCATCATATTATGCTTGTAAATTAGCAAATCCTTACATGTGGAGAGCGAACAAACATTATGTGTAATAGGCCAAAGATGCATTTGGCAAAAGCAGCATAAAACAAGTATAAAGGCCAAAGCAAATGAAGCTGATATGGGTTATCTTTTCGCTTTGGAGATGTCTCCTTCCACAAAAAAAGAGCAAACAGGAAAAACAAAAGTTGTGGTATGCCATCTATTATGCGGCACAACAATAACGTCATGTTCTCGTCCCATTATTTATTTTTCAACCACTACAAGAAAAGCGGGATACAGGGGCGGTGTCGTACTGGCTGATTTAGAAACCGACTCTATTTTCATATTAGAAATTTGAGCTATACCTTTAACAAAGCCATTAAGCTACTTAAAAGTATTTTTCTCTCTCCTGAAGCCAAGTATCCCATTGGTATCTATTTTTTTTTCCTTAGTTCGCAGCCAAAGCATTTCCTAATTTTTTTAGCCTCAGATTGTTCTCAGTGTCCAAGGTCGATTTCTCCAAACGACCTTTTAGGGTTTTCACTGATTCCAGAACCGTCGAGGCCGAGTCCGTCATCGTTGCCACTGGAGCCGTCGCCAAGCGGTTGCCGTTCACTGGCTCTGGCGACGGTCCCGACGGGTATTGGAACAGGGGGATCTCGGCTTGGGTGGTGTGCGACGGTGCGGCTCCTATTTTCAGGAACAAGCCGCTGGCGGTGATCGGCGGTGGGGATTCGGCCATGGAGGAAGCACGTTCCTCACCAAGTATATTTCAAAATTTAAAAAAAAAAGCTACGTTTTGTTGGGATTTGCTTTTTTCTTTTTATTTCAGTTTTCGCTCCATCTTCAACTATAAATTTCTCTCTCGATCCACTAGGGTTTGTTCCTTCCCATTGGGTCGATCTCAATCTCGCTGGCGCAACCGCAACATTAAGCTAGTTTTGTTTATTTCATAATAATTTAATTTTGTTTTATGCTATAGCTGATTGATTGAGGATGGGCAACGTGTCTGTTTGTTTTAAAATGTAGCATTTTAGTTTTAAATAAATGTCATTTAATTTATTTATTTTTAAATTTATTATAATAATCGATGAAGATCAACGACACGCATAGTTACCACAATAGGTTAGAAAATTGTTTTTCTATTATTTAATTTATATTGTTTTGGGTGCAGGTGCTCTGCATGCTTGCGTTCATATAATACCCTTACTGGGGCTGGGAAGTTTGAAGTTAGTTAGCAAACAGTATTTTATGTGAGCTTCACCAATTCTTCTATCTTTGTAAATTGTTGTTGTTGTTGTTTTGTACCAATTTATGTGATATTTTACTCCTTTTTGTGTGTGTTTTTTGTGGTTTAATTACTTATTAAGGGGTTGAAAGATAGATTCGACAAGGCAGCAAGAAGGAATGATGTGAAAGCAATAGTTTTGACTGGTAAAGTTTGTTTAGATTGCACATGTGTGATGCTTTTTTTTATGCTAATGGCTTTGCTTCATGCATTGAATGACCATTTGATTGTCAAAGTAAGAAAATTTGGAATTGCTTTATTCCCCTTCTCTCTTATTATAATCCAATAATTTGCTTTGAGTTGATCTCATAATCATTCAGCACCTCAGCATATTGTACTCAACGACAGAACAAAGAAACATGCTTATTGCACATCCTACTTATGACATAATTAGCAAGCCATAATAACAAAGAAATAGAAAACAGAACATTAAATTTGTTCCATTGCAAGACATAATAAACAAATATACCATAATCAGCAATTCAGTATAATGCAGGAGTAAGTGAGTGAGTGAGTGAGTTACTCAAACAGTAATCTGCTTGAAGAAGCCACAACCTCAATCACTAAATCAATCACATATACATAATTATGTTTATTAAAAAAAAAAAATTGAAAGTTCCCATATGAAAATATAATGGTGGCTCACCTTTAGTGAGAAGAAACGTGGGAGTTTATTTATCATTAGGAGCAAGGTAAGTCCAATCCCTTTGCTGCAACATGTTGTTATATGGATGAGAGTCGAAGGAATGATAAGGGGAAGTGGCAGAAGAAGTGCCCGTTGGGTTTTGGAATATTTGGAATATTTGTCTTTTGTCATCTTCAATTTGATTGTCAAATGGATTATACTCCAATCCATTTGGTATCACTGAAAGACGAAGCCAATCCATTTGGCAGACTGCTATATATAAATGTCACTCTCTTATTATCCAATAATTTGGGTGCCCTCCAAGTAGAATTTGTGTTCATTTCTTCCTTGTAGATATATTGGATTGGATTGAAAATATGCTGTTTTTTCTGCTTACTGCTTTCGTTAACTTTGACCTATTAGATCAAAGAGCGTGTACCCTGTAATGGTTAGATTAGGCCTCTGATAAGTGGACGGATAATGCAAGTGAAAGTGTAAAAGTGTATTGTCATTTAGGTGGTTCATTTAGATTAGACCTCTCATGTTTCTTTAATTTCTCTTTTCCATGTTTGATTGATAGCAGAGAGGGGCTTCTGCATTCAAAAGAGCAATAAATTATATCCTTATATATTGCCTTATTCCACCTATCACATGTATTCCATCCCTAGTGAGGTTTATAAGCTGACAGTGACAAGTTTTTTCATGCAGAACCTTGGAAACATCCTTGATTCACTCACTGTTCCAATGATTTGTTCTTCCTAGGATACTCGAATCATTCTGAATGGAAATCAATTCTCTTGCACTCGCTTCTTGCCGTATGTCCATTCTGCAAAAGGACACTGGCAGTGGATCTCCACCACAACGCAAGAAGGTTTTCAATTTATCATTCTAAGATTTAAACTTTTCTCCATTCATCAATTCAATAAGTATCCTGTCCATAATTGTTATTATTATTAACAAAACAGACTTAGTTGCAGATATTTAGCTCCAACCCATATTTTTATCTTGCATTTAATCATGAATTTAATGGTGTTGTGTTTACGGTTAAAATTCCCAATTTCTTGCATTTATGATGAACAGCCAAACTTCAGTTTTGGGTTTGCGATTATACCTTTTAGTGCATAGTTAATAAAACCTCATGTTGATATTTTATTTTTAATTTTTATGATTTATTCAACTAATATTGTATATATGGGTTGTCCCTTTTCTTCTGATTGTTAATAGTTTAGTCCTCGAGCAATTATTTTGTGTATAGCTGGCTTAATTTATGTCCTTTTTTTTCTGGATGCTTTTAGTGTTTCGTTTGTGTAAGATTTTAAATGTGCTGATAAAAATACAGCATGGCAATTTTAGGTAGCTCTCTAAGTTGATGTATGTTGTTAAGGACTACAGAAAAATTTACGGAAAATTAAGCAATATAAAAGAGGCATAACTGCACTTACCAAGAGAATTTGGAGGACTCAAGTATAATAATAGAAAGAAAACGAATGAAAATGAATATTCATTGGAACTAGATTATTACTTTAAGAATTTAATCAAATTCAGATTTTGTTTTGGATTTTGAATTTGTTTCTTCACACTGCAGTGAAGAGTTTAATTCTGGATTTGGTTCTCACACACCTATGATTCTGGGACACGCTAAAGTTATCCGTTACTTTCCTAACTATGAAAGGTAAAGATCCTGTTTTAATTCTAATATTGACAGACTGGATTGTGAAAGCTCATTCTTGTTAAATGCCACAGAACGTTAGATATTGCAAAGACTGCCATGAAAGAGAGATCATACGTCTACAACAAAACAGATTAGATCATTCATCTTTCCAAAGATGGGAAATTAGAAGAGGTGATTGGTGTATTATTGACTTATATGGCATGCGGTGAGTTCTTATTAACTTATGGTTATGCTTAAACTTCACAGAACTAGTTATTGACTTTAAACTTAACTCTTTATTTCAATTTATTGGCTTTTTTATTTGACAACATGATCATGTAGTCCAAAATTTTCATTGCTCATCTATTTTGCTAATTACCAGTAAGTTATCCATATTAAATAAAGTGTGAGCTTGTTTCAGGCCAGTAAAACTCGAACCAAAAAATAACAGGCCCAGGTCCTCTGGTTGAACGTGGTTACTTCTTGTTCAAAGTAAAAGCAGGGGAATTGGGTATAACGGCAAAATCGACTGGTCTTTTATGTGTGTGTCTGTGTGTGTAATTTTTGCCCTGGCCTTTTATAATGGCTAAACACGTTAACAGGATTAACAGTTCAAGTAGCTAATGGGTCTCATTACACTGGCCTTTTATAATTAGAGCCTTTATTTTGCCCTTGGCTGTTATTTACTTTTTCAATTCTCAAGCGATTTGATTTTGATTCATGACACTGGTTAAAGTGTTTCACTCTTCAATTTATGATCACCCACTGTCTATTGACTCTATAATTTGTTCAGGTTATTCTTGAAGGTCTATGGTAGGAAGGATTTATGGCACTTGCTGCAATTGGAGCCACAACTATTGGGTCAATTGAGGTTTGTCCATAGTTCCTTAAGGTTATTGTTGATCTAATTATTTTTGATTGGCCATTCTTTATTTTCTTATTTTTGGATAAATTATTCTTTATTTTTTTGTATTTGTGCTAAAAATATTATTTTTAAATTTTAATGCAGGTAACGGAGCAACATTTTTGTGCTCAACCTTCTTCGTATTCTGCTACTCATCAGCCATAGTAAATTACTTATGTTTAAACATTTTAGTTGTATTGACATTGTGATTATTTTTACGATTAATTTGTAAAAGAGTTATGTACTTTGTTTTTGTCATATATTTGGATCTATTAATTTTTAATATTAGACTTTTTAAATTGATTTTATAATTGTATTTAGTTTTTTTTTTATATATTTAATGTTATAACAACAATTTTGATTATAAACAATGAAGAAATCAAAAATTTGAGTCAAGTTATATAATTTAAAGGAATTATATAATTCAGTGGTTGTTTAAAATATATATGTTTACAAAAAAAAATTTATAATTTTTGCAACCACAACAAAAATTTAATTAAAAATAAAAAAATTTGAATTACATGATTTAGCGGCGGTTCTAAACCGCCGCTATTAATAAAAGTGATTTATTTATTTTTGATAATTAATGGCGGTTTATATACATTCAACGTCGGTTATAATTTTTGCGTCGGTTATTCCGTCGGTTGCTTCAAACTGTCGCTAAATTATTTAACGTCGCCATTTTCTGGGTTGGTTTTCAATTGGCCACAGTATTTTTTAGTGGCGGTTTGAACCGCCGCTAAATCCAAATAAAATCGCCGCTAAATCCCACTTTTGGTGTAGTGAACCACTTGTCACAGCCACGAGTTGCCTTGGCAGTTCCTCGGTCCATTATGCACCTCGAGTTTCTGTGTGTTATTATGTGGTAAAAATAAAAAGAATTAATTTTTTCATTTTACATGAGAAATTTTTTTCGTATTACACACAATATATTATATGAGTGAGGTTTACAAAAATGTGATAAGACAAAAAAGTCAATATAAGATCCACTTATGTATTATGAGTGTAGTATGAGAAAATTTTCTAATGTAAAATAAGAAAATTATCCAAAAAATAAAAGGCTCCGTGGACTATGGTTTAGTTTTCTTATTTAAATATATTTATGGTTGTTGAAGATAACATTTTTTTATCTTATCCTCTGATTTGAAATTCCTGAAGATGAGTGTTCACTTCTCAAAACAAACTAATCTTTAGTTTGGATTTGGTTAAAGAGATTGTGATTTGAAATTTAATGATTTTTGCTTATATATATATATATATATATTTATATTTGTAATTCTCGATTCTTGCAAGACGCACTTTGAAGTTAGTGGAGAAACCTTTATCATTTCAATTAACGAAAGGGAAAACTAAGAGGTCAAAAACATGAAGTATAAATAAATAAAAATGCATGTTATTATTATGTCAATTTAAATTGCAACTCAAATCCCCATAAACATACCTCTTAATGACATTGAACTTTTATTTTCCAAATTCAATTACATTAAAATGACATATGTCACATTTTCTAATTTATTATTCCACAAATTGCTTCAATATTGAAAACTAAGAGGTCATTGTAGAAGAGTATATTAGCAAATAAAATTACAAAAAGTTTTTAAAATGAGTTTTACATTTTTTTTATGGGAAAAATGTTTCTGCAGTTAATGCAGATAACTTATCTGCATTTATTTCAAAAACGACGTCATTTTGGTATTGAAATCTTAAAAAATTATAAATATAAAGACTATTACAACCCTGAAATAAATTAAAATTATAAAAACACTATGATTTCCGCCCCAAAACGACGTCGTATTGGGCTTACTGTATATAGTTTATCTGCAGTAACTACAGAAAAAGCGAACCCTTTTTTTATAAGATGAAATAGTTTTGATTTTTTTTTTAAATGCATGACCCGACCGGGTTACTGGGTCGTCGGGTCACCGGGTTTGGCCAGATTTGACCAGGTCAATGCATGACCGGTCCAATGCTTGACCCGAACCGGTCTGATGACCGATTCGCTAGGTTCTGGGTCGACCCGGCCAGATCGGGCCGAGTTTTACAACATTGGAGATTAGTCCCATCCCGAAGGGGTGGGGATATCCTTGGATTTACTCAAAAAAAAGAAAAGAAATCAAGGTGTAAAAAACAAGTATAAGCTGTAATTTAAATTTACAAAATGTCATTGTTGGTGAAGCATTTTAAATTTACATAAAAGAACTATATTATATATCTTATAAGATTAAAAAAAATTAAAAAAAAAGATGAACAATGGCTTTATAGCAATGTGAGCATTTAAAAGATTTCCCAAAGTTTCTATAAAAATAAAATAAGATAAAATAAAATAAAATTCCTAAAAGTAAGGTGTAATTAAATACTGAATAATTAGAGGGAAAAAGAAAACGATGTCGTATAAAACTCTAACAAAGAGCACTGAAAAAGGGGTGTGGCAGGAGCCGTGCAAGGAAGATAACAATGGCGACGGAGCTGGAAGAACTTGTGAGCTTTCTGTCTTGTCCATCGCCACCGGTAGGTTTTCTTCGTTTCCGGTTCCTCTTCAATTTCTGATTTCATTTTTCGGGAGTCGTTTCATACGTGTTGCGTTGTCGTTTCTTGTAACAGATTACAAAGGCTGCTGTTGATATAGTTCGCGGATTAACTGGTTCCGTGGAGGGCTTGAAGTCTCTCTCCAATTACGCAAACTCTGTGCTTCCTGCGTTATCGAGACTCTTAACGGCTCCCAAGGTCTGTTAGGGTTATCATCATTTTTATTTTTATTTTTTAATTTCTCGTTTTGCGCGTTGAAAAGAATTAGAGTTTACGATGCACGGTGTCGTTTCAGGAAGTTTCGGAAGCTGCTGCTGAAGCTCTAGTAAATCTCTCGCAAGATTCGAATCTCGCGGCTGAGATGGTTCGGATGGGAATGGTTAAAACGGCAATGGATGTCTTGTACAAGCAAGATTGTAGCATTACTCGTTTGCTTGTTATGCTTTTGGTTAATCTCACTCAACTCGATGCTGGTACTGCTTCCTTGCTTCAGGTGTGTTTGTGTGTGTATGCGTCTGTTTATTTATTTATTTTTATTTTGTAAATTATGTGCAATGGCGTCTACTTAAAGGGATAGGATGGTGTGATACACAAATAATGTTACCACATCTTAACAGTTGATTTCCGCCAATCAACGGTTATCATTTATTGCGAATTAATATAAATTGAAAATTGTGGAAACAGTATGTGATGATTGTGGTAGGAGGATAAAAGCGGAAAAAAAGGTGTTATACGTTATGGGAATTTACGAAATTGAAGTAGGTAGCTGTGGTGATGCTATTTATAGTTGTTGGAAGAATGCGTGGTTCATTTTTCTCTTGCTCGTTGTGTGGATTTGTTAATTGGTGATTCTCTTCTGGTTGGTCAGACTGAAGAAGACAAGGTGCATGGATTATATGTTATGAAGCTTGTCAGATCGTTTTGTAGAACCACCCATGAAACTAATGGTGCGTCCTTCTGAACTCAGTATATCTATGCTTAATTCTTTTGCATACATTTTTGAATTTTTGCATTTATTATATTTTATTTTATTTCGTTTTTCATGTGTTAATAGAAGTAGTTTTTTTAATTACCTCGTGTCTGTACTCTATGGACTGCTGATTTCAGCCTGTTGGATCTCTTGAAATGTTATTGATTCTGAACAGTTTTCTCTAGGGTGAGGCACTGATATTGGAGAGTTCAGATTCAAAGTTATGGTTTGTTTTGAAATATATAGATAATTAATAAAGGGAAACACAGAACTTGGCTGTTCAACAGTTTGAGAATATTAAACTCGACTTTTTTATTGTGGAAAAATTTCTTCACCTTTCAGGTGGCTGTTGTGATTGTTGATAATTGTTCACTAATTTTCATGCTGATTCCGTGAAAGTTTTCCCCAACATTTACCAGATGATCCTTTTGAACATGTTGGTTCAATACTTGTTAACATCTCAAAGCAGCGGGCAGGGAGGGAGCTTCTACTTGACCCTAAACGGGGTCTCTTAAAGCAAATAATCAGACAGTTTGATTCTAACAGTTCATTGAGAAAGAAAGGGGTATGTGCAAGAACTGCACCCTAAATGCTTTCTGTTTCCCATCCTTGCATAATGTTTGAATAGTTTATTTTTAATTTTACAGCCGGTATTTTGAAGTATGTTGAATTCAATTTAATCTGATATTTTTCAACTACTTTTGCAAGAAGTGGTCAATAGATGATTTAGTTTCATCCTCTGATTTCTTTACTGATGATCTGATGCTGAGTTAAGCATACATTACTGGCTCATGGACTGATGCTATTTTTGAACTTGTATGAGTAAATAAAAAAAATTTGTGGCCCTAAAACAGTATTCTTTGAACTGAGTATATGATGTGTAGTTAATCCTTTTTCTTGTTTGGTTCCTGTTGAATTTCCACTTAATGGATTTCTTTTTTTATATTAATTATGGTTTCCCCATAACAGTAACATTGGTTTCTGTGATTACTTTCAATTACTAAACGCTAGGCCAACATGGGTGTCTTTTTCTAGTCAATTTTTTATAGCCTGTAACTTCGCTCAGCTGAAAAATTATTGCAATATTTGATTGCTTGCAGGTCTCTGGAACTATTCGCAACTGTTGCTTTGAAGCTGAGAGTCAGCTACAAAATCTGCTTTTGGTATCCGAGTTTCTCTGGCCTGCATTACTTCTTCCAGTAGCTGGAAACAAGGTTACTTGCTCTACCTTTTCTGACCTCAAAGCATTGATCTTCTGCTTATTGAGGAGTAGATTTCCTCCAACCCTACTTAAAAGATTTTTAACAACTCAAGAAAATGAAGCTTAACCTGATAGGACCTAGGACACAAGAATGAAAGATGTGGAGACAGCTAGTTAGAGTTACATAATTAAGTAGATGTTTAAGAGTAGTTAGTTAGAGAATCGGGTAGGTGGTTAGTTTAAATAGTTAAAGGGGAGTAGAAGATTTCATTCTGAATTGTTAGTGTTGGAAAACTGAGTGTCAGCTCTGTTGTAAACCCTTTGTTGAAGGGGAAACCCTTGGAAGGAGAATTCTCTCCTTTTCTATGTTTGACATTCGATCACTAATAACTGAAGTGTTCTTTCACTCTCTCTGTTCTGTTTTATCATCTTTGTCTCTAGGAAATCTCAGACTTAGTTTTTGGGTTCATACGCTAAAATTGTTGAGGTAGGAAATTAGCTTAAATAGGAGTAGATGGTAGAAGAGTGTGCGATTCTAATTTGTTATCATTTGAGAACTGGGCATTAAATCTGTTGTAGAAAGGGGAAACCCTTGGAAGGGGAATTCTTTCCTTTTCTCTGTGTTTCAGTCATCAATAACATATTTCCATTCATCCTTTCTCTCTTCTCTACTATCGCTCTGCTCCCTTACTTGTGGGCTCGTAACAAGTTTGCTTGATGTCTATCCATGCATCATGAGTAACTTCCTTATTGTATCGTTTTGTCCATTTGAGTTTATCCTTCTAATTTGTTATGAGGTCAAAATTCTCATTGTGGAAAGCATATATAAGATCAATTTATTAAAATAAAATTTAATTTATTGTACTGGCCTTGGAACTTACAGCAATCAGATCATATGACATTCTTTCAGAATGTATTCTTGAATCTTGAGTGCTTAAGTTTGTTATTTCATGTCTCTTGCATTAACAAGTAATTTGTAACCAGATCTACAGTGAACAAGACAGATTGAAAATGCCACTTGAACTTGGGACTGCACTTTCGATTGAACGTGAACCAGTTAATGATCCAGAAATTCGTATTCAAGCATTGGAAGCCATATACTTGATCTCATTGCAGGTAAATTTGAAAGTTTTGCTTCATTTCTTCTCCTTAATATATATATTTTTTCTTTGTTACATATTAGATTTCGGTAACGAGTGTGTTTTCAAATCTATGCAAGTATATTAATACATTGAACACAGTGAAACTCAGTGTCTCTAGGAAAGTTAGCCGACAATTTTCATTTTTGTCCTATGTTATATTAAGTGGAACATGTATTACGTCCTTGGCATTCTGTCAAACCTACTTCATAAGTTCATATCATATACAAGTCTACTATAAGAACTTTTCAAACTCCTCTTATCTGGGACTGGGATGGGTGGTTACCTTTTTCCCTAGCTAGAGAAATTTAAACTGTGGTCAGTCTTGATTAAATAGCTGCACCTGCACTTAGTTTATATAATGATTTAATCATGCCAAAGGGTTTTGATATAATTGATAGGAATTTAAATATCCCACTGTACATTGTTATTGATTTGAGTATGGATTATAAGAGCAAAATTTAGGAAGTATTACGCTCTTGGAATAAAGTGTTGATCTTAATCGTGGCTTAGAAAACATGCATGATACAGGTTTTGACCAATGCAATAATGTGTATAATAAACTGATTTTACTGTTTTTAGTTCGGAAATTTTATCAGTCCTTATTTCATCGATGTTAAATACAACTTGATTAAGATGTTTTCTTTAAATCGTATTCTTGTTTACTCTTTCAAGTAACATGGCTCTAGTTGTCTTATCAATCTGGTCAAGTTTTTGTGTATCTTGATGTTGAGATATATTGCCTCTCGATGCATCAGATTTACTATGTCATTGTTTTGCAGGAGGCAGGTCGAAGAGCCTTTTGGTCTGTAAATGGACCTAGAATAGTACAAATCGGTTATGAAGATGAGGAAGATCCAAAAGTAATGGCTGCATATGAGCAACTGGGGTCCTTGGTAAACACCAGATGTTTTTATTAGTATTGTCTTCTTGAACCTCCTTCCCATCTTTTTCTTGTAAATTTATAAAGTTAATTATCTGCACTTTGCTGGCTGTAATGTTGGCTATCTCTATTTGTTATTCAGTTGATTCACAGCGGCAGTACGGAGGAACCATCCAGCGAGACCACAAAATAGTTACTTCGTATTTGTTCAATTGACCCCGCTTTATCTCCATAAGAACTCTGAAGTACTTGTGAAGGTCATTCCAAGTCGAAAGTTTTACTTTGAGTTAGAATTACCATTTTTAGAAATATGTAAATTACGTGGCTTAGAATAGCTGGTCAAAATTGTTATACATGCTGCTGAATGAGTCAAAGATGCACTATTGATGATGATGCGTAAGTTCGGTTTGCACCTCCAGTTTCTGTATTTGGACTTCTAAACTGCAGGTTACACTTTAAAAAGATAAACTGCTAGTGGTAATTATGATGAGACGAGAAAATCTTTACAAGAATCACTTTGGAGGATCTAAATCCTGATTTTGATGTAACCCGTCTCTTCTGGATTATTGTTAATCATTCATTGGCTGGGTAATGCTTCTGATGATTTATAGTGCCTGCCATGCCATCGATGACTGATCTGATATTATCGAAAACTAGTTTCTCTTCATATACAAAACATAATGTTAATAATGTTTTACGTACAAATTTTTGTATGGATACAATGACGTGTTGAATTTATGTACTCGCTAGTATTGAAAGTATACTTTCTTGTATAAAAGAAAACTTTCGACGAATGGTAGGAGTAATATTGGTAACTAAAAAGATGAAGGAATATAGATTGAGGTGGTTTGGACACATGATATTTTTGTAAGAATAAAAATTTGTTGTCAAGAGCTCGACACAAAGAGAAGTAAAGGTAAATCGAAACTTATTTGGAAAAGGTTGTTAAACAAAATTTAATGGAGTGAGATATTGATTGATTGACTGACGATGTGTTTTAGAATAAAATGAAGAAAAGCTATAAGTAGGTTAGAAAGTTAAACCGTTTGTTATTCTTATGTTTCAAATAGTTCTTTTTTAGTTTTTTTTCTCTTCAATTCTTCTTCTTTTTCTTTCTTCTTTTTTGTCTTTTATCTTATTTTTCTCTTTCCCAATTTTTATTTTTTTAATTTTCTCTTATTTATTATTGAGTTCATCTACCAGACTCCAATTAGCTTGGGTTAAAGGTGATGTTGATATTAATGTTGACGATGTAGTTAGTAAATTATGTTGCATTTGATATTAACGTATAAGGAGTAACTATACTTATATTGAATTATTTATATTTAAAATAATTGTTATTTAATTAGTAATTTTTTGTATTTTTAATTGTTATTATTTTGTTAATTCTCATGAATTAGCAATTTGACATCACCTATTGGGTCTCATGATCAGTCCCCTCATTGGTTTCCACCTCACTGTTCACTCTTTGGTTTCCCACTGAGGAGGCTAGTGTGCAGCCATCAAAAGACAAGCACGTGTTTAGCCACGTGTGAAATGAGGTGAATGATAGAATAACAAATGTTCAACGAGCCACCAGCTATGACCCTAATGGTATCCCAGGAGACATGATTGAGTTTTATTAATCTTATCTTAAAGCAGGTAATTTATTTCATATCATAGAGACATATTTGTGGACTTCACTATTTGAAAAATAAAAATAAAAATAAAAAAATGGCACAGTTATCGAAAGGTGTGTAGGAGATAAAATTATCAGATATATCATAATAAGAGCATAATAGTAGTTTTTCCCTTCTTGATTAGTTGAGGCGGGTAAGATTCTACTACATCGCTCACTAAGAAATCAAATTTAGATTATTTTGCCGTAGCTCATTCTTCCATTGTGGTCTTGCATTCCAATTTTCAAGTCTATAATGAAGAATTTTTTTAGCTCCAACTTCTTTCAGTATTCATCGGTGTGTATTCCTTATTTGGCTTGGGTATGATGTCTCTTTTATCATTCTTTGTGATGATTTCATTTTGAATAAGGTAGTTTTAAGCTTTGATGAATATCTTAATCCTATTTTTTCAATAATTGTAGAATGTTTTTTTTGATATAATAATAATTGTAGAATTTACCTTCAAACAAGGGAGGGTTTTGGGTGGAGTACCATTCTCTAATGCTTTTTATTTCATTAATTTTGGGATCTTTTCTTTTGGAGTTACATTTCAAGTAAAATCAAACATTTTAAAACAAACAAAATGGAATAGAATCAAACCTTCCAACATTTTTCATGAAAAAAAATAAAATAAGTATAAGGCTTTATCAAATTAATTTTTCTTTTTAATATAAAAAATTGAATCTAAAAAAAACCTATTTGGATTAAAAAAACTTTTTAAGAGAAAACAAAAAAAGAAGTTAATCTTGCTTCGTTAATCTTTAAATTTTTAAATAATATAACCCAGGTATGATTACGATTTAATTATATGGGGAATTCAACATGAAATTTAAGATTTTATTTTAGATATTCAATCTTTATGATTACATGACAATTTTTCTGCATTCATATTTTCAAAATTCATTACATATTAATTATTGCAACCATGCAACTTTCAAACTCTCTATTAAATGACCTGCTCTCACTTATTTTTTATTATATAAAAAAAAACAAAAATATGAGACCCAAGAAAGTTCGTTCAATCCCAAAAAATAACTATATACGGTAGGGATGTTATCCATTTTTATCGTATCTTGTCTCATCTTAGTGATAATGTTGTGTGCATTGCTGAGATAAGAAGATATTCTACCAGACACCAAATGAAATTTACCATGATGTGCACCATCAGCTCTATGGCAGCAAGTACAACTTCTCACAAGCATTTTTTGCTATATAGGATCGAATGTTGGGTATTTACATGTTGGATATATGCTCTTTTGGTCACTAAAGTCATATTGGGCTTCAGTGAAACTTGAGCCCATGAGGCTTAGGGTTGAGTTATGTTTAAGACCTAAGTGTATATATTCATAGTTTTCTCCTCTTGTGCCTCCAAGGTGAACAGATCATCAGAAACAAACCCCAAGAGGCAGACGTTCATCATCTGAACGGTTGCCCACACAACCATCTCATCCTCCTCGAGAGATAGTCTGGAAGATCTGCCACAGTCCAGCTTCAAGGAGGTTGTTCGTGCTGCGGAGCTGAGGTGAGCTGTTCGTGAAGAGGAATCCACAAGGGAAGATTCTACACGAGACCTGCGCACCGAGAGGTAATTGTGAAACAAGGATGATTCAGTAAGCATACCAATGTACTAGGTCCTAAACCGCTTCCGCATAAATCTAAGATTTCCTACAATTGGTATCAGAGCCTTGGCTGTACATTGGTATGTGAATCTAGTTTCACTATTCATGTAATTAGTTTTGCTTCTTGAAATGTGGCACCTAGGGTTCTAGGATTATGGTATGAATCTAGCATGTGTATTTTATAATTCATTTTCATAAAAGATTAAATTTTAATCGGTAAAAATGCTTTAATCCATGGTTAGGGTATCTCGTGTATTTCTCGATTTGTAACAAGGAGGCTAATCCCATATGATTAGGTTTCCTCCTTGCTGTTTTTGTTTATTTTTGGAATTTCTGTGTATTTTTCAATATTTTGTAAAAGTTCAAGATCGAGAAATCGCGAGGAAGATGCGCAGTCAGCACTGTCGGAGACTTTTTGAGGAAGAGGACGGAAATACGAACGCAACGGTGGGTGGATCGCTTCCATCGGAGATCACACGCTCGTCCACGCGCCTCCACAAGAGGCTGAGAGTGGCCGCCACTCTCCGGCAAAGAATGGGAGAGTGAGGGAGCGTCCGGCCACCTTTTTGGGTGGTTCCGGCGGCGGTGCACTCGTCTCTATGTGGCGGTCCTTCCCCTGGAGTTTCGGTTTGATTTGACTTCGGGTGACAACGCGGCAGACCTGACGGCTAGGGTTCCTCTTTCGCGTCCTAGGGTTTCTTGCCAAAGGATTGGGTCTTTGGGCTTTGGAAACCCTAAAGGGTCTTGAGACAGATACTATGGGCTAGGCGAAAGTTGAATTCCAAAGTTGTAACATTTTTTTTTATTTTCTTTAAAATAGGAATGTCATTGATTAAAGTAATTATGATTTATTATTTAATGCTTTTATTGATTGGTATAAATTATATGATTGATAACATGCTTTATTGCGATAACATGCCATATAGAATAGGTGGTGCCATATTGTTGCATAACTTGTATGATTGCATGAGCATAATAGCTATTATGTCTTCAGCGACTAGTATGATAGTTATTATGGGATTATTTTGATTTTAAATCATCCTAAGAAATTAATTAATAATTATTATGATTTTTATTAAAAATCTAGATTAATAATTGAATTAATTAATTTTGGATAATTAACATCAAGACAAATAATCATTATGGAAATTATTTTGATTTCAAATTATCCTCATAAATGATAATTATTATGATTGTTGCAATCTAGATTAATAATTAAGTCAGCTATTTGGATGATTTAAATCTAGAAAAATAATTAGAGATAATTTCCTAAGAGAATTCTTTTATTTTGCGAGTAATTTGTGGGTTTTCTGAAATGGTCATGGAATAACACACGCTGCATACAACCTTCATGTATCATGATTGTTTGGAGCACACACTGACGTAAAGTGACCGGATTTCAGGACCTCAATGCTTTCAAAATTATGTTAAGCTTAGTGCACGTTTATCGGCGCTCTTACTTATATAGTTCTTGAAATCAAACAAATGATACTCTCAATTAAATAATTCTTGAAAATTAGAAAATGTTGCTTATGTTGAATGGAAGGAGATTTAAATTAAGAGATTAATTTAACCTTCAAGCGCATTATAGGACCATTAATAAAATAATCATGTGAAGTCCCATCGAATAAGCATGATTGGATTTTATTAGATTGGACTTAAATATCTATGGGAGAAGATTTAAATTAAGAAATTAATTTAACCTCCAGGCGCATTGTGGGCCTATCAATAAAATAATCATGTGAGGCCCCAACGGATAAGCATGGTTGGATTTTATTGGGCCTTAATAATTTCAAAATTTTAATAAAGTATTGTACGACCCATCGTCGATAATACTAAGTTATTAAAGATACTTTTGAAATTAAACAATGAATTCGACTGGGCTTATGAAAATTCTCAAACAAAAATGTTGAATGGGTGAAGGTTTTAAAAATTAATTAATTTTAAAACCTGCGGGCTCCATTTGTGGGTTTATTAGTGAAATGGTTATCGCTGAAGCCCCAACGGATAAGGATAATCAGATTTCACTAGATTAAATCTTAATAATTTCAAAATTTTAGTAAAGTATTGTATGGCCCATCGTCGGCAATGCTTAGACACTAAGGATAATTTTGAAATTAAACAATGGTTAATTACATTCAACTTTGGTAAAATTGTTAACCCTCCCATCGAGGCTCTGGCAATGGCACTGAAGGCCCAAAATAACAATTTTGGTTTTTACAAGTGATTTGCCCATCGTAAGCCTTGTAAAGATAAACTGAAGGATTGTTAATAATAAACAAGAGTAGTTATAAGAATCTACTCGCACTTCAATTGTTTATTGCATTATTT